ATTCAGAATAGAGAACTATCAAAATACATTAAAAATACAATTTGTCACTACATATGTTGCTTGAGCAAACATTTCATTGGAGCAGAACTTCTGCTCAGATGTACTGGGTGGACTGTTAGTCACTATACTGCACCACAGCATACTGCACTGGAGCGTGGTCCAGACCTGTTATAATCACTGCGGATGTATTAAATTGTGTTTATTTATTCAGCATGTGCTGTTGCACTTGCAAATGGGTGTTGTCAGAGTCTCAGTGGGAGAGGTAATTCTAACTGCTAAAGCCATAATCCAGACAGAAATGACTGCTTGGAATAAATCAGCTCAACTTGTTAGTGCACCTTCTGTACGAAGTGGGAAAACAAAAGACAACACAACAACTGGATGAAAAGATTGGTAGATATACAAGGGTCTCACATGAGGACCAAATACGAAACGCACCCTCTCCTGTCCTAAAAAATGTCATCCCTTTGTTTCTTTTTCCCAGCATATTTTTCTAACCGAGTGGTTTTAATAAAGTTCAATTCAATTTTATTTATATAGCGCCAAATCGCACGAACAGTCACCTCAAAGCTCTTTACATTGTAAGGTAAAGACCTTACTGGGACCAGTTGGAGGTGAGGGGAAGGAGACAGGCCAAAAGATATGCTGTGGCAGAGAGTGGAAATTTGATTCTGAGTTTAAAAGAGAAGCAGTGAAGAGAAGCCAATAGAGGTCCTTTAATTGTGTACATGTTTCTGCTAAACAGCCTGTGAACTTTGCTTCTGGTGCAGATTTTGCATGTGTGCATGTAGCAGGTATTACCAAGTGTCCACTTTTAGACTTTGCCGTTGTTTCTGAATGAAGATATATAAATTGTTGTTAGGCAACAACTGATTTCTAAATTGCATTCTGGGTAATCTTTTCTCTCCAAATGGATTGCTTACTCACTTTGGTGAATTTAAACTGTACTCCATGTCAACTAAAAACCTAAACACATAAAACATGTAGTACCAGAAAGTCTGCCGCCTGCCTAGTCCTCATATTCATATGCAGTTACCTGTTTAGAGATAATATAATAAACATGATAAATGTTCAAAATAAAAATACTGGCTATTGATGACTGCATATTTCCTACTGAGGTGTTGGCTTAGTAGTGGGGCACTTTGTGTATATTTGAGTCCAACAATAAAAGTGTGTTTGCTTATTGATGTGACCGTTAACCAGACACCAGAGAAACTGTACATTGTGACAATTCCCATCCGTAACCTTCATAGATAAGCGAACTGGCTGCCTAAAGTTTTTAGGGTGAGAGAAGAAGAGAGCCAATGTGTGTGCATGTGTGTGTGTGTGTGTGTGTGCGTGCACCTGCATCAGCCCTCTGCTGGTTCGTGCAGAAAGAAAGCTGCAGTCTGATTTGCTCTTGTTTGGATCTGACACAGGGAAACAGCGCAGGAAAATGAGGCCTCGCATTTCTTAATTATTTAAATCAAACAATTAACTACGGCTGTCCTGGGAAAAGCGCTTTTATCCGCTCATCCAAAACAACAACAGCATCCAGGGTGGAGTCTGGAGGAGGACAGATCACATGGAAAACAGCAGCCAATAGAGGAAAACACAGTCATTTTGCTGTAGTTTTGAATTATTAAAACAACTATTTTAGACTGCACAGGTGCTCTCCAGCTTGCATGCTTAGACTAAGCTCCTAAAAAAGCACCACAGATTTCTCCAAATCTCAGCATCCTTTAAATTTCTCTTTCAAAACACCACAGAGCTTTTTTCCATCCAGTAAATTTTACAATACCGTAGATGTTAAATGAACCTTCATACATTCTGCAGTAACATCTCCCCAAAGTACTCTTTATCACGCAAACATATGGTGTAATGTTGTGAAGGCTGGTCAAAACAAAAGGCTAGACATGCTATAATATATGAATATTTTAGTGATTCAAAGAAATAAACATTAAATAGGGAAAAAATTAAAAGAAATTAAGTCACCTTAAACAACACATCCCTGGTTCCCTGTCTCTAATGGACTATATAAGGTTATTCTAATAATATTAAAGCTTGTAATTTTTGTTCTGCGTGTATAATTTCGTCGCTTTGTCTCAGGAAAACTTGATACACTGTTCACATTGATTACACGGTCAATTATATATAATTTATAGGCCTCAACTGGAGAGCCGCTTGACGATTAAACTTTGATGAGACCATGTACTACATTCTTTGTTATAGACCAACATGCCAGCCACTGTCTGGTAGGCAAAGAATATCTATAAATATTGACAAATGCACAATACAGAAGTTGATTTTTCTCCTTCTGAACTTAAAATACAGGGATGATACGTCAATATTCTGGTGAAACACTTCAGATGCTTTGACAACATTCAAATGGTAGCAGTAAACATACTAAAATTTATGTTTTCTGTTGCAGCCAATATACAGTAAGTAAAGTTAAACAGTTTGAAAATGCAAACAGAGCAAACCTGCAAATATGAAAAAAAAAATTGTTTTTAGCTTTTAGGACTTTATGCAGTATTCCTGTTTTCCTCCAGCAGGGTAGATTTCTGTGACAGAAGATGTGACTTGATGCAGCAGTAAGTAGGCATGCTGTGTAATGTGCACGTCTGTTTCTTATAAAAGAAGGAAAATCAATCTAAAATACTGCAACTTCAAGGTATCACTGTTTCTTTGCACATTTATAATCCATGTTTCTGAAATAAGTTCAGGACCCCAAAGACATAAAACTTTTCATTAGAACCCAGGGTGATGAAATTCTTGCATTATCACACTTCGGATTAGATCAAAAGTGTGATATTTTTATATCCAGTCATAAACTATCTGTTTTTCATTTTTCTGGTGACCCACTGGATTTCTCCACTGAGGGGCCCCCAGGGGTCCCCAAGCCCTGGGTTAAGATCCTGCAGCTTTAAAGTCCTGGATTGGGTTGCTCCGAGGGGATCGGGCCCGAGATGCTGTTGTACAACAGAGAAAAGCAGCTTCTTAACAAACACGCTCCAAAATCAATAGTATCATAACAGCTGATATTTATTATTCATTAATAACGCATTTGCAGACCCAAACCACCTGCTGATCAGAGGACAGGGGGAAATAATATAAACACAGACACACAGAGAGAGGATTTCATGCAAATTTAGATTTTAACTCACTGAATTTTTTTTATGTTTTCAGATTAATATGCAGTCGCGCATACAATCTTATGCTTACAGAGTTTTTGTGGTTCTAGTCATGCTGTGCTTTATGAGAACACAATGAAGATTGGGGCTGTGCACATGTAGCAGATTTATAGGCTTTTTTCCAGGTAAATTACTGGTTTTGCTGTATTAGGTATTCTGTGAACAATATTTACTGCATTCTGGTTTATTTCAGAACTATTTCAGTGCTTTTGTATCTGTGATTTCACTTAATTTATATTGTGAATGACGTCCATGAGTATTCTGGGAAGCACTGCCTATAATTATAAATGAAACATATTAGACTGTTATTATTCTTAATAATTTTACAGTTAATTTAAAAAAACATGCCGTTTTTTCTCATATTTTTCCAAATACGGTTTATAATAAAATATATTTTTAATCACAATTCGACTGTCTATTTTAAATGTTTTCTTCTAATAACACTCCTTTAAAATGGAAATAATATTTTTCTTTTCAATCTTTATCCAGAAGAGTAAATATAGTTCTTACTATAAATGCTGATGATATGAGTACCTGCACTAAATTTGGCATTTTAATTCGAACATTCACATTTCTGCTGTCACGCTGTATCATTAACGCACAGTGGATTTCTTTCCCCCCCTAATATATATACTTTCAAACACCTGCCATTTTTGTTCTTATAAAAGAAAAGTGTCTCATTAGTAATTATATATTTATGGTGAGGACTTTATTTTCTAAAACTGTGCAAATGTGGGGTCAGTCGTTTTAAACTCGTTAATTTTTGTTCAGTTCGACGAAGATAAAGATCCATATGTTATGAATAAATGCATGCAACATTTTGCCTGCTAAAATGTATTGTTGCCAATAATTTCACTTTACATCTAAATCTGCATCTTGGGAAATTGAATTCACGAAAGCAAAGCTAAAAATCAGCTGACTAATATTTGTAGAATCTTTTCTTTTTAATTATCGGGCATGAAATCGTTTACCTCATGTTTTAAGTTTATTTCATACCATCAGGGACAATAATCAGCTTCTCACAAGTTGTGACAGTTAAGAGATATTTCATTTAGTTCTGTTTTCTTTTTTTAGTTCTCGTTGATTTTTTTTCTGTTTTTAAAGTTTTCTGACTTTAAGAAGCAGACTTTTCAATTCTCTTAGTTTTCTTTGCATTTTTTTACTCGGAGAGAAACGTCTGATAGGACTAAAAGCATCAGATGAGGGGCCTGTCTGCGCGGTCCTTTATGCGATAGAGCCGTGCAGTCTTCATACCCAGCAAAGTTGATCAATATTAGAGTCACTCAAGTATCAAATCCTATTCATCATCGCTGGGAAGCAGCTTTTAGACGGACCTCCCTCACCTCCAGGCTTCTCCTGTTTCAGAGCAGCAGCTGCTCGCCTCTCGGCGCAAACACACGGACTGTATCCAAGAAACAGAAACACAGACAGACTGCTGTCCCGAGCTCGCATTACACAGATCCATTAAATCTATCTTTTTTAAACACCTCTATCAACGAACACAAACCCTGGCGTGGTGTGACGAAGATAATCAGATATTTTGCTTCAAACGCACAATTAAAAAATCACCAAAATCTATTCTCAGGGGGTGTGATGCTCGCTAAAAATGGAATCAGTAGTTTTTCTGATTGGGTTGAGAGACAAAATCCTGCTCACCGTCTTTTTCAAATCCCCAAAAGAAAGGCTTTCAGAAGTTCAAGTAAAACGTGCACGGTTTATTTCAGCTTCTGTCGCTTACACAGACACATTTAAAACACACTTTCACATATGAAATATGTTTTTTTCTTCTTCTTCTCCAAAATAAATAAAATTCAAATAAATACGGAAATGCAAAGAGAAAAAAATAAAACAAACAAGCAAAAAATAAATAAATAATTAAATGACGTTTTCTCAGAAGCGTTGACAAAATATGTATAAATAAGGCCGACAGTTCCCTTCATCAGAATGTCTACTGTACAAAGTGCTCTCCACAAAGGTGTCAGTGCACGAATAATAATAATAATAATAATTCATGAGGACACAAAGAGGGGGGATCAACCACTTCTGAATAATAACAATATTAATTTGATTGTCAGAGCATCATTGCAGTGAACTTGAACATACAACAGGTTTACACATCAGTGAGTCTTCTAGGCCTAATTCACCATCAACCCAGTGGCAGAGGAACAAAGAAAATAATAAAAGAAAATCACATTAAAATCAAACCAATTTTTTTTATCCTACTAGAGTTTTTTTTTGTTGTTGTTTATATGTGTGTGTGTGTGTGTTTTTAAATCACCATAAACGTGCCAACACTTGCGTAATGAGGTAGACACACAGCTATACCGTGTGAATGTGTGTACTCGTGCGCGTGTTCGTGTGTGTGTGTGTGTTTCTTCTTATTGCAATGCATTCACTTTGGGGGGGGCGGATTGTTTCCATACTTCTGGAGCCACAAAGAAAACACCCATGTCCTCCTTCTCCTCCCCCCTTTTATTTTACGAGTAAACCATGCAACGGATTACAGGAGTTACTGCGCCTCACAAATTAGCCACAGACCAAAGGACGCTTTTAACGCGTTTGGTCGGATCTCGTCTCCAAAACCTCTTGAATTTCGTAAAGAAACAAACACCTGGGAGAAAAGACAGCGAAAAAAATCAATACATTTAAATGAGCTTTTTTCCCCCGACACACACAGAGGTGCAATATATTCACAAATATGTACACTGATAAATATAAAAAGCTATTCCGGCTAATGAGGATAATAATAATTATTCCTCGATTCCCGTCATTATTATTCTTAATTTTTTGTACAATAATTGCCTTGTGAATGAACGGGACGGAGCATTGTTCCCTCCTCTTTCCCCCTACGATGCTGATCACTTTCTCCCACATCTCAAGGGAGCAATGGGCTCCTCTTGTGGAGAAGCATAAAGATTTAAGAGTCTCGAGTTTTTGGACAGGGTCTCAGTCTTTTTTGTTAATTTTATTTTCTCTCCCAGTCCCCATGCTCCGTCTCCACTGTCAGAATAAAACAGGTACACCGTTGTATCCACTTCGTTTTTTTTTCTGGATGGATGAGGCTGAATTTATTAGAACACGTCCGGGTTTATACTGACAGAACAAGTCACCAGCTGTCTCACATCCAAACCTAAATGTGTATCTAAAATACTGAAAGACCCCGTCGAGCGCTTTCTTTGCGCTGAATACTTTGTGTGAAGTCGTTTCCATATCTGCAGACACACGGCTGTGGATTCTGCTCCACTGTAACGAAGAAAAATCACGCATGCACACACACACATACGCGCATTTCGTCCATTCTTTAGTCAGAAAACGTGATTTTTCTTCTGTAAAATAAACAAGTAGCATTTTCAATGCCATACCATTTATTAATTATGTAAAGCAAAAACCATTTGATGAGATTTTTTTTTTCAATGACCGTAGTCTGCTGTAACACTTTGATGAGCACCTATATGATCTGTGAGATGACTGTTTTCTTATTGAGCGCGCACCTATGGGGCCCGGGTGGCTGTCAGACAGGATCTGCCCAGGTAATAAAGGCACGACGGTGTACCTTGTATTTTTCTGACAGTGTGGTGCAGCAGCAGCAGCTTGTCTCTGGTTTGTCTTTTTGGAAACGGGGCAGAGACCCGCGGCTTCGCTGGCCTTAGTGCGTCGCAGAAAACTTCATTCGTTTCTGCTTTTGCCTCTGATTGCAAAACCAAACCCGGACCACGTTCTTTTTCAGGTCCAGTTTCTCGGCGATTGCGGCGATCTTCTCGGATGAGGGCCTCGGCTGCACGGCGAAATAAGCCTCCAGAGAGCGCTTCTCGGGTGCAGCGATAGAAGTGCGTTTCCTTTTTTTGTCCCCCCCGTTAAAGAGCTCCGGCTTGGTCATCTTCTCCCTCTGTGCCCGCTCGGCCTCCTCCAGCCAGGCCTCCAGGATCGGCTTCAGGGCAACCATGTTGTTGTGCGACAGCGTCAGGGACTCGAACCTGCAGATGGTGCTCTGGCTAAGACACCCGACCCCGGGGATCTTAAGGTTGGCCAGGGCAGCCCCCACGTCCGCCTGAGTCACCCCAAGTTTGATCCGCCTTTGTTTGAACCTTTCCGCAAAAGACTCCAACTCCCGGGGATCAGGCTCCGCGTCTGCGCCGGCGGTCCCCAGGGAAGCGTGGGATCCCAGTCCGTGGGGGTGCATGTTCATGGATTGCGGGTGGTGGTGGTGGTGGTGCTGCATGTGGTTGATGGCCGACATGTGGGCGTGAGCCGTGTGCGAGGCCGTGGAACAGACGTCTGAGCCGGGCATTCCTCCGAGAGAAATACCGGGCGTGAGGTGGTCCAGCAGGTCGCCCTCCAGGCCCTGCGCCGGCTGGTGATGCGCCGGGTGATGGTGGGAGGTGAGCACCGAAGGGTGGTGCAGGTGTGCGGAGGAGGAGGTCGGGGTGCAGGTCATGCTGGTCATTGTGGTCATGGTGTGGTAGGTGGCGTCTGGCTTGAACGGGTGACTTTTCTGTGCCACGATGTCCACGGCGGCCAGAGCCTCGGCTCTCTGCAGCAGCGTCTCATCAAAGCCGGCGAAGATGTTGCCCTGGAGCTGCGAGGGGAGTAGAGGGAGGCCGGTTAGAGGAAAGATTCTCAGCAACAAAACCTGACAGCTTCGTCAAAGCATCCACCTCGACTCCAGCTAATTACATCACATTTATTTAAACGTTAAAATAACAATTCAAGAAAGTGCAAACTATTAAATAAAATGACAAATCTGTGGAAACTTTTCTATGGTAACCCACTGATATTTTTCAGAATTTGGACTGTTTCACAAATACTTTTCTGCTTTTCCAGGTTAACATTTAAACTGCAATATTAATCAGTTAAATGTATCTGTGCATTATTTACAGTATATAAGCAAATGTCACAACATTACAAAAGACGAAAATTTTATGCGCGCAAGGTGAACTGGACTTTGTTTCATTAGCTCTCAAAACAAACGCAGTCGACCTCGACGTGGACACAGCTGGATGTGCCCGGTGCCTCGAAAGTGTGTCAGCGTGGAAGGATATTCATTTAAAATTAATATTTACGATCTCCTGAATAATTTCTGCGGACAATGAAATGAAACGGCTGTGAGTTTGAATATGAATGGGACAATATGAGATAACACGCGCTCGGAGATTCCACGCAGGCTTTTCATTCGTCCTCTCCCTCCTTCATCTTTTATCGTCGTTCGTTTGAAACAGAATCCCTCACACTTTCTCAAAACACCAGATCTGGCTTCGGCAGAGGCGCATTTTTTGCGTCTGCGGGCACCACGGTTGGCTTGGTTTTTTTGTTTTGTTTTATTTTGTTTTTGTGCTGCTAGTACTCCCCGGTTTGACCTGTTATATCACTGTCTCCAGTCTCTTTACACGGGTTTCGTTTCACATTTCATCGAGCGCTGTCATTCGATGCTATAATATTGAACTTTATCCTCACTCCACCGTCCAAACAAGACGCATATCCTGGTCTCAAAGTAGAAAGACTTTAGCTGCCAGAATGTGGGGCTGTTATTATTATGTTGTTTTATTAAATTAAATAATTTTATATTGCATTACATGAATAGAAATCAAGAATAAACTAAAGACGTTTTCTACATTGTCAGAGGGGACTGGAAGTTTTGTAAGAGCTGCGGGAAGTCACGAGTGAATTCTGGACTCACCGACGGTGTGGGAAGGCAGGCTCTGCGGATGGCCTCGGAGCTGGAGTGCAGAGGAGTGTATTTGGGTTCGTGCAGGATGGGGTGCATACTGAAAGGCTGCTTGCTGTTCATCGACATCATGATTGCAGAAGTGAGGGAGGGTCGCTGTCCGTCTTCCTCGTTCCACTCCGTTTTGATGGTTTTTCTCAAAAGAAACGCCTCTGAGAGGAAGAAAACGTGCCTGCCACGTGCAGATAACTTGGAAAAAAAAATTTTTTTTTCTTTATCGGGTTTTTGTAGATGTAGTCAGACTCAGTAAAAAGAAAATATACAGAACGTGACAATCAGAGGTAACTCCGGGACACCTGCGGATTTTCTGCCTCCTGTAAACGACTTCTATAATAAAGATGCTCCTTGCCTCCAGCGCCTATATTGGACCACTGCCTCCCAGGCTCTTCCTCATTGGAGGATCCTAACTCCCTCCCCCTGGACGTCTCCACCAACCACGTGAACATAGTCGTCTTTAGCCACGCCTCCAAGCGTGCTTGGCTCGCTGGCAAGGACGGTTTGTGGTTTCACTGCTAAAAAATCTTCGTAGAAACATCTAAAAATCGATACCTGCAAGAAAAATGTGGGTTCGGTGACATGAAGTTGTCACGAGACCACCAGGAATAACGTGGTTATTGATGCCTGCATCAATTAACTTTGCAAACGTGGGTTTCAGAGTCACGGTGATCTAATGATTCCTGGATTGCTAATGCTTAAATGCAGAATTTGAGCCTGTGCGCCAGGAAAACTGTTTAAAGCATATCAGTGCCTTCATGACACCCGTAGCCGCACTGTGGAGGCTTACATTTGTCCCCAGACAGCATTTCATCCTAAACTACCAACACATCTTTGTAACAGTGCTGCAGATCTTTCAAAGTAAAACGGCTGAGCAAGGAGACCATGTGTTTTTTCAGGTTATTATTTTCATGCAGCATATAACCTACTAATCACAAACAGCAAGTGTGGATATGAAAAGCAATATTTGGGCTTGGGTGACGATTTCAGTTGCCCGGTCAGCTGGCAGAGAGGGAGGGCTGGTTCAGAGACAGGGAGATTCAGTTGAGATTATTAATTGATGACGGGCGTGCAGGAATTCCTCTACCTCACCCTTATCCTCGTTCGTAGCAATTAATAAATCAATTAATCATGCTTCACTTACTCTGTGGCTGTACTAGTGGACATCATGTTCCTGATCGCGCAAGAAAACCCACTCACACCTCCGTTAATTAAAGAATAAACAGTCCTGAACGGGAACTAAAGAGCGCAAACACCAGACGATGAAATATTTACACGTGAACCGAGCTGGGGTCAGCGGGGCACAGCTTGTCAATCAAAAGTGGAAGGGGGGATTTCCGGCAGACGGAATGATTATCGCGAGGGTGACAGAGTGGGCAGGGGGCTCACTATCCCGAGCGCTGTGTCTGCTGCTCTCACACCTGCACTAATAAGATGAGCACCTGTAAAAATTAAAAATAAACTTATTTGCAACAAGTAGCAACAACTGTGGCATTTATTTTATTGAAGCGTTTACTTCAAACAGAATGTAACAAATGAAATATTACTAAATAAATCTGGGAGAAAAACACCGCTTTTCAAACAGCATAGCGCACATTATTCCCTGGTTTTAACTAATTAATCTGGCAAAATCCCGCATAATTCCGACCGTCGGCGTTTGCGAAGAAGTTGATTTAAAGCGGGCAAATGCCTGAATTGAAACAGATCAAAGGAAACCTGAGAAGAGACGAAGGTAGAGGGACCTGAATTAGCACGAATCCATGCATGAAAAAGCATTCATTCATTTATTCATTCATTCATTCATGTAAAAACCTCAGGAATTATCGGGGTCTTGTGTAATGAAAAACAAAACTGAAGGTATTTCGAGATTCACGCGTTATTAATCATGTCCATGCAGCTCACGGGACCAACTAACACACAGAGGACTGAGTTTAACTTCATTACTTCATTGCAGTTTTAGATTTATAACAAAGTTACTCTTGTTACTCTTATTGTGAGTTTGTGTTTTCAGTGAGGAGTTTCAGGTGCATAAACTAAATAATTCATCCAGTCAGGAGCATTTTCTCCGTTTTGTTGCTTTGTTGATTATATATTTACTCAAATAAAATATTATACTATGCAACCTTAATTGGAGTAAATTCTGTTTATTTTGTATTTCCCACTGTATTGTTACTGAACATTAACAACATTAAAGTTGTGATACTGTTTTGTGGCAAACACTCATTTTCATTTACTTTTCCATATCAAATTTGTTTTAATCTTCTTTCATCATTACTGAATTAGTCTTAAGTGAAATCACTTATCACACCTTTAAGGAGGTTTTCACGTTTTGTTTTGTTTTTCACCATCACCTGGGTCTGCAGTTGTGATAAGTAGAATCATAATTTCTTATCCAATGCTTGATCATTTGATCAATAACTTAATGTTTCTTCACAGATGTTTCAGAAAAAGTAAATAAAGGTCTTGTTTTCTCCCGCTTTCCTCACTGCACCGTTTATTTGTGTTTCCTGCTGCAATTAATTTAAGTGTGGAAAGATAAATCTTTAAGTGCTGAATCATAACTTGATGGCTGATTTGTTTTAATCAATCCTGGTGATATCAAATTTTGAACTGCCATAATTAACACCATTAATTATTTATTCTTTATCTTTTTTTAATGAAAGGCCAATCATCACTTCATCTGACGTGGCACAAACACCATGAAGTGTTTTAATCAAGTGATTTAGCGAAGTGAAGCTTTCTTATGGAAAAATCTGTTCCCTATAATATGTAAAGTGCAATACATGCAGTACATTCAAGTTGTTTTTTCCATATATTTATCTGAAACTGGACTCAAACTTCAGCTCAAGAACATCAACATGTAGTCCAGTATCATGAATGTAAAGATAATGTAAAGAAGTGTAAAGATGGTGCTTTTGAAGTTCAGCTCATCTCAGCTTTCCAGCTGTTCATCTTTGCACAAACTCATAGATGACTGATGGTTTCTATTTTTTCCAGACTTGGGGAGTCCATTCTTTTTCTCGTGGGCACTGCATTCTCATCACTGTTTTTGCATCTTCGCTACCCATTAAACACAAACAAGCCAAAGGCATTTTGAACACTGTCGGAATGAATTCCAATTAAAATTATTAATCAAAGTCATTCCAGTAATGCATTTTTCTCTCCCCAGGTGCGTCCTCTGTAAAACCCTTTAGAGAAATCTGTTTTTAATTACAGGAATCAAATACAGAATACTCAAATTATTTGGATAAATACTGCAAGCACGAAGCAAGCAAGAAGTGAGCAAATGAAGCAGTGATAAAAGCAAATACATGAAGTAAATTAGACCCGAAAGAGTGCAGGAAGAAACAGGAAAGATGAAGCAGGGTAAAATGGCTTTGAGGCTAAAGTTAGGATTAGAAGTGAGGATATGATTTACTAGAGGAAACAGATGAAGACTCTTTAGAGAATAATAACTAAGAATGAAAACCTGATATTATGCATGTTTCCCTCTGCTTTTGATCAGTACAGCTTTTTGATCAAGCTCGCTTTTATTGTTTCTGCCCTATGAACAATACTTTTAAAATAAACTTAAAACCTGCAATAATTATAATAGGGTTTTGTTTTGGGGTTTTTTGCCATTTAAAAATGGCACCATCAAAACTGAAACCTAATGTGCTGTGTTGATTCCTGTCTTTGTGTTTTTTCAGAGTAAAACTTAAGATGTGCATCAGCCCGGCCTCAGTCTTGCTCCAGCTGTAACTCTGCCTCTCAGTCTGCAGCCCTGGCTGAAACTCCAGCTCTGACTCACCTGCCTACAAAAAGAGCAGCAGTGTCAGTGACGGCCAGCAGGAAACCTGAGTGAGGGCTATTGTCCTGCTGTAGATGCGGCCCTCCAGAGGGTCCCCGGCACCCGCTCATAAAATATACATCACCTGACTCCACTGGGACAGCAGTAGGGAGGACAGTCCGCTGGGAAGAACAAAATGCAGGGAGTCCAGCTGGGGTGGGAGGGAGGAGAGAAAGCAAGAGAATGAAAGCATAGAGTGAGAGCTCTGGAAATAGAAGCTAGGAAGGACGAAAGACGGTGCCAGCTTTAAAGAAAGTCAAACTCGGATGTTTAAAGTCTAAACCCAACACAATTTGAAAAAGAAGCCATCAATTTTACTCAAATTTACCACGTATGTTTTATCTTTAATTTTTAGCCTGAACTTTACAAGCATTCACTTTTACTCATTCAAATCGCTGCCTGAACTGTTTGCTCATTAACTGAATATCTAATAAGCTAATTATATGGCAGCAATTCGCTTCATTCAGGCATGGTCAAGATGACATGATGTTCAAACTGAGCATCAGAATGCTGAAAAAAGCTTGTCATGGTTGTCTGTGTTAAACAAGGTGATCTGAATATTTTGAAACCAATGATCTGCTGGGATTTTAAGGATCTATGGAGAATGGTCAGAGAAAGAAAAAATATCCAATGAGTGGCAGATCTTTGGATGATAACACTGGTGTCAACTACGAACAGGAAGCTGAAGCTACAGTTTACACAGACTCAGCAAAAGTGGGCAGAAACTGGGCAAAGATCTGCTATGAAATTCGAGTTGTACATTCATCTAAAAGACATGAAAGCATGGCTTCATCCTGCTTTGTTTCAACTGTTCAGCCTGGTGATGGCATAATGTTTCAGCGGATATTTTCTTGCCACACTTTTGGCCAACTGTGCATGGTTTAAACACCAAAGACTGCCTGAGTGTTTTGGTGACTGTGACCATGCCTTTATAATCACCGTGAACCCATCTTCTGATGCCTGCTTTCAGCATGATGATGGACCCTATCACAAATCTCAAATGATTTCAAACTGGTTTGGCCTCTAAGAGTTACCAGATCTCAATCCAATGGGGCACCTGATATAACAAGAGATTTGCATCATGAATGTGCAGTCGACAAAACTTAGAGGACCTTCTTGAATCTGTTTCACCAAAAAATTAAGGTAGTTCTGCAGATAAAAAGGGGTCCAACCCAATACCAGCAAGGTGTACCCAATAAAATATTGTCCAAGTTTACATTAGTGGTACTTAAAACTTGGCTTTAGAGCATCTTTCATGTTTAGTTTTTGCCAATAAAGTTCAGCTACAGGATATTGTAGCTGAACTTTACATGTGTGTCCATCGCATGAGTGGTATTTGTGTCAGCCTATTTTAGACACATGAACAGTTCATATTTTTGTATGTGAAACAAATAAGTCCGTGTGTGTTCAGAGTGCAGGAGAGACTCTGAGGGATCAAACGTCCGGCAAAGCTTTCAGCGAGCAGAACATGGCTGCCACA